GGTAATGTCTCAAACTCATTACCCGCCCACTACCCGTGACGGGTATCACTTTCTAAATCCACACCCGCCCACTACCCGCTAAAGTTATACCCATCCCCGCCCCAATTGGAGCGGGTACGGTGTGGAATCCACAAAATTATACCCGTTTGCCATCCCTAAATGAGAAGGTGTACCATGTGGTTTGGTAAAGGGAAAACCAATTTGCTTTCACTTGATTCGTGCATTTAATTGAGTAAAATATATTAGAGGAAGTTGAATTATAAATATGTATATATATATATATATTGGAATAAATTAAATTATATTTTAATAATTATTTTAATAATTAAAATTTTAAAATTTTTAAAATAATTATTAAATTTATTGATTTGTTATAAAATAATAATTACGACGTTATATAAAGTGTGATAAAAATAATAATAAAATATGGGCAAGTCAGCTCTTACTCATGTACTATAAACTATTAACTAGTGGCGCCATGCTGTACGCATCTTCTCATTGATGACACAAATTAAGAGGAAAAAAACCCCTAATGTTTAATTTATTCGATTTATAAAATTATGTAGGGAAATATTTAGGGTTGGATTCCAAAAAATAAAATAAAGTTTTAATAAATTATATTAAATTTTTTGGAAAAGTACACAAATGGTTCTCCGACTATAAGGTATTACTTTATCGATTCTCTCGATTATTAAAAGTTACAAAATGATCATTCGATTATAAAGTATTACTTCATTGAGTTCTTAGACTATTAAAGGTTACAAAATGGTTACCCGACTATTTATCATGTTCAAAACTCATCATTTTCCGTTAAAAATTTGACGGTAATTTAAGCCGAACGATAATATGCTAATTGTGATACGATAAAATTTGATCCCAGAATCTTATACGGTTATCATATCTCAGTCATCGTATTAACATTAAGCCTAGACAACTGCTAATTTTTTAACGAAAAGGGACGGATTTGAAATATAATAAGTAGTCAGGTGATCATTTTGTAACTTTTAATAGTCGAGATACTTAACAAATCAATATTCTATAATCGAAATATCATTTTATAATTTTAATAGTCAATGGACTTAATAAGACAATACGATAAGGTCAAGAAACCATTTGTTTACTCTACCCTATATTTTTAAAAATACAATATCATATAATTTTGGAAATTATAAATTAAATTATTAATAAAAATATTAAAAAAATAAATTTTGAAAAATGTAATCATATCTACCACTAATAAACTGTAATGACGATAGGGTCGGTTGCTTATTAATTCCACCTTTGACAACTTATCAGAATTAATGTACCTTTTTGTTCCATCTCTCAAAAGGAAATGCAGTGGGAGTCAAAAATGGAATATTAAGTGGATATTCCTTTGGGATTCCTATTTTCACCAATGATATTTGACCGATTGAGAAAAATAAATTGAGGAAATTTTGAAAATGACCACCACCACTCATGGTGTCGGTCCATGATGGCTACGACATAAAATATCCTCGTGTAGACTGTATTTTCAAAAACTTTTAAATTAGTAACGGTTAATTCAATTGATAAGTAATTTTATATCTTTTAAATAGTAAGTTTTAAGTTTGAGTTATTATATATATAGAAAATTTTTGTTAGAAGATTCATCAACTAAAATTAGATGTACGACCTACGTCGGTTCGAATTAATCAAAATAAAACTTTGTGAATTGAGAGGACAACAAAGAATAATAATAAAAACTTTTATATTTATATATTCTATATTTTAATATTTTATGTTTTATTTTCAACTGCTGAATTTAATTTTATTATTAAATTAGTCGATAAATATAATTTTAAATAGTATTTGAACAATCCGAAAAGCACCAGATCCAATACCCTTTTTCATGGATGTCTATAGTTGACTTGCTTAAATATTATTATCATTATAGTGAAAAGAGTATTATTTTATTTTTAATTCATTGGAACGGGAGGACAATCCGAAAAACACCTAATTCTATAAGTCACGTGTATGATCGGTTCAGATTAGTTAATACGAAGTCTTGAAATCAGAGGGTAAGAAAAAAGTATTGTTTTATTGGCTACTTGACCGATTATCTTCACTTGTATATATAAAAAGTAAATACAATAGCTTGAATCAACTTATCTTATTGGTTTAAAGAATCATTTATATTTCTAAAGTTCATAGGTTTGAATATCAGTGACTACAATATAGTGGTTGAACATTCATTGTCAAATGATTAAGAACATTCAATTTAGAATATTATATTGTTTTGTAATTACCTTAGCTTAATAAAAAAATACAATAGATATATTAATTTATTAAATCCAGATGGGAACAATGTTCTTTTATGCCATCAATTTTGACTTCTTTATATTTTATTGGTTATTTGGGGAAATAATTATGGAGAAAAATATTCTATTTTCTTTCTAAGAAAAGAAAACATGGTTGATTTAACGGGATATGATATTAAATCTTTTAAATAAGAATCGAGATTCAAATTTTAATATTGTAAATGAAATAAATTAGGTTTAAAGAATTATCTTAGGATAACCTATATAGTACTCAATCTAATAATGTTACGATAAATCAAACGCTAATAATTATGCTAAAAAGTAAAATATTATTTGTGATTGGATGGTTTTTCCTTGACTATGGGAGGTTGGTTCCGAGTATGAAAAAGCCAAAAGAACATCTCCTGAAATTTGGTAAAATACATTGAATCTAGCATAGCTTCTACTTTTCTTAAAGATATAGCCATAAGGGACCATTTTGAAAACCACAATGCATGGTAGGGAGGGGGTGTAAAATTCGAATTCGATCGGTTTTGATTCAATTTTATAGGTTATATTATTTTCTTGGGTTCTGATCGACTTGAATCGTGTTTTTTTTAAGGAAAGGGTTGGATCGAGTTTAGTTTAATGTGAAAATCTAACCTAATATATTAATATAACTCTCCCTCTCTCTTATATATTAGAAGAAAATTACAATAATATTAATATATCTCTATATTTTCTAATTAAGAATTGTCCGTCCAGCTCAGTTGGTAAGAGCACAAGGCTCTTAACCTTATGGTTGTGGGATCGAGTCCCACGTTAGGCAATTCATAATTCTGACTGCCGGAGGTCTCCCACGGAAGCTGCTCTCAATCTGGCGTTGGGGGTCAGCCTACTATCCTACCTTCCTTTTATCCCATTACATATGGGAATAGGGTTAGATGCATATATTATATATATTTTATAATTAAATATACATTTTACCCAATAAAAATGATATTATATATGTGTGTGTGTGTCAGGTCAGATCGAGTGCACATTTTTAATTCAAAAATGACATCTATTGAGTTTCTGGTCGGATAAAATTTCCCTAAATTCAGATCAAGTATGATAAAAGAGTATAATACTTGATTTAAATTTAAATCAATAAAAAAATTGAACTAATCTAACGTGTCCATCCCTATGCGGTGATTTTTCTCTAATTATATTTTTAATTTTTTTTGTTGTACTTCCGTTTTCATGGTTTCGGCCTATTTAATTCAGACCGACTCTTGTAGCACACCTATCTTTAGCGAGTGAGTCTCCCAACGAGAATTTTCTGTGCGGACAAGAACTCGAAATCGAAACATTGCTTAAATAATATCAAATTTATTCCTACTTGAACCAGCCCTGCTGACCATATTTTTTAATTGTGGAAATTTTATTAAGTAAACTCTTTATATTTTATATGTTTTGTTATGCATGCCGAAGCATAAAAAAGTTTGTTTGACTTAATTAGAATAAAGTTTCTATTTATTAATTCATTCGATTTCGATGTGAATGCATGCTGATAAGCTACCTCAATAAGCTATCGCGTGCTCAATTATTGAGTCGGTGGCTCGTTACATAATCAAAAAATTAACTTATCAATCATACATACTTTAAGAAAAATATAATAGAAAATAATAGGAGAGCTTCCGGTCCACGTAATTGAAAATCCAATTAACACACTAATTGTCGTATTAAAATGCAAAATCCAAAGTATTTTAATTATTTTGGCACTCATGCTCATATCATATGACATGCTTCCACGGTCCGCATCGGTTGTATTAATCAAATCGTATTCCCAATTATATCAATAAAACATAATGGAAAGAACTGATGATTTTAAATAAATCATAAAATATTATATACGCCGTAATAAATTTATGTAAATTTAGGGGATTGAAAAATGAAAAAGTTAATATAAACCCTAACCAAGACTATCGCATACGATAGTTTAAGTATGCGAATTTATACTATAAAGATTTTGATTTTTTTTAAAAAAAATATTTTTATAATTAACATAATTAAATTAATAACTAAAGGAATTGAATAATTCCTTGTTGACACGTTTAACTCGTGATAATAACAACACGATCCAAATGACGTATGTGATAAAAAAAATGTTATTATTCCTTAAGGTATCGTGTTCGAGCACAAAAAATACTAAAGGTGTGAGTGTTTAATATCGAATGATGGATAGTTATGAATGATAATAACAATTTAACTTTTTGTGTGATCATTTAAAAATTTAAAACAAATATTTATTCACTCAAAATGATATTTTATATCATGTATAAGTAGGGATGGGCATGGGATCTGAACCTGAAGGGTTCCGACCTGACCCGACCCGAAAAAAATAATAATTTTACCTTATATATTTAGGTATAATTATAATAATATCCCTCTATATTTTATTTTTTTCCAATTAAGTCACTATTTTTTTGAATAAAAATAATATTTTTATTATTATTTCGGGTTGGGTTGAGTTTTGAAGTTATATATCGGGTCGGGTCGGATCTCGGATGGAGGATTCCTTGTTCTAGGGTCGGATGGACCAAAAACCAGACCCATGCCCATCCTTATGTATAAGATAATATTTATTTATAAAGTACTAATTATTTGAGAATAAACTTTTGATGGAAACAATGAATAGGCTCGAAGGCGTTTGGGCTATTGTAGTCCAGAGCTCGTGCTTTGGATTCCCAAACTCTCATAATTTGGAGACAATCATCAGAGGCCTGACTCACTGTAGCTTGGTTGAATCACCAAGCCGGACTGGTCTGCTTGTTGGATAATTAGAACTTCCACTAATAGAATTTACCTTTGGAACTATGTTTGGGCCTAAGCACAGACAATTTCATCTGCTTTCACCAATCTATGTTTGTTAACTGTTAATTGATCATCATTCTTCTTCAACAATTTCAGTGTATTTTCTGGTTTTGAATTTTAATCAAATCCAGGAGTTTGATACTTTTGACACCATGAAAGAAGAACAAAGCTTACTCATTCTCCAGTCCGCTTCTCTTTTTGCTCATCCTGAAGGTCTTTCCTTTCCTTTAAACCCAAAAGATATTGATTTTTATTTATTTATTGCTGATTTTTTTGTTTTGTTTTAGGAGTGAAGCTATCGTATGGGACAGCAGGATTCAGGGCAGATGCATCGATTCTTAAATCGACGGTTCACAGGGTTGGGATGTTGTCTGCTTTGAGATCGATCAAAACCCAATCAGTGGTTGGATTGATGATCACTGCTTCACATAATAAAGTCACTGACAATGGAGTCAAAATCGTTGATCACAGTGGTGGAATGCTCTCTCAAGAATGGGAACCTTTTGCCGATCAGCTCGCCAATGCCGAAACTCCTGAAGCTCTCCTCTCAGTGAGATTTATATATATGTTTTGGATGTGGGTTTTACTTGTTTCATGATAATTCATTGAAATTACTGTTGAGGGATAGTGGAAATGGTTCGTTTATTGAGTTTGATGGAATGCTAAAGCTAGTGTTGTTTATTGAGTTTGAAGAGATGATTTAGTTTCTATGTTGAATTCTAAATGTGACTAGAGATACATATCATACTTATTTATTGTATCATCTTAGAACAGCTCATAACAGAATTCATAGAGAAGGAAAAAATTCCGTTTGACGGAGTGCAGACTGCGGAGATCTTGTTGGGAAGAGATACACGGCCTAGTGGAGAATCTCTCCTCGAAGCTGCAATGCAGGTATCTCTTCTTTCAATTCACAATCAGATTGCCGAAACTTTATAAATTTCTTTGTCATATATATCTTTCGTTTGCTGATATCTATATCCATGTTGTAGGGAATAAGTTCAATTTTTGGAGCCATTGCGCTTGATTTGGGAATTTTAACAACCCCACAGCTGCATTGGATGGTTCGTGCTAGGAATAAAGGCATTGTAGCGACAGAACCTGCCTATTTTGAACAGATTTCAAGCTCTTTCAGGTTAACTGAAGCTGGAATGTTTTTTGTAGCCATTTATTTAGCTTGAAATATACTACTTACAATTTACATTATTGTTTAGGTGCCTGCTAGACTTGATCCCAAATGAAACCGAAAGCAACAAGATGGATAACATAGTGGTGGTTGATGGGGCTGATGGTGTTGGTGGAGAGAAACTTGAAGTTTTGAAAAATATGTTGACCGGTTTAGTTATCGAGGTTCGTAATACTGGTAAAGGTGGAGGTCTACTGAATGACGGGGTTGGTGCCGATTATGTACAAAAAGAGAAGGTTGTTCCACGTGGATTTGGTTCCGATGATGTTGGAATAAGGTGCATTATCTTTTCATATTTGGTAGTAAATTGCAGTTATTAAATAGTTACAAGCTGATTGTTCTTTCATCTCACTGAATTTTTTATCAAAGGTGAAAGGGTTCATTTTGGTTTCAACTCATTCTGGCAAGTGCATATGGTAAATAAGATAACAACTAAACATGAGACAAATTAGCAATGCTTCACGAAATGATCACTAAGCAAACACTTTATCCTTCATTGAGTAGTACCACAGCTAGTTTGGATGGTTGATTCATGATGGTATTTGACAGTGTTTTTAGTATGATACTTAGTGTGATATATCTGGTCTATATATTAAAATCTGGTCATGCTCTGGATTTTTATTTATCAGGTGTGCAAGTTTGGATGGTGATGCTGATCGCATCGTATTTTTTACGGTCCCAGATAACAGCAGCAGCAGAATTGATCTTGTTGACGGGGACAAGATATTATCCTTGTTTGCATTATTCATCAAGGAGCAACTAAGTATTCTGACCATGGAGGGCAATGAAAATCCAAAAAATAATTCTGAAGCTCGACTTGGTGTTGTACAGACAGCTTATGCTAATGGAGCATCCACTGATTATCTCAAACAGTTGGGTTTGGAAGTCATTTTTACTCCTACAGGCGTAAAACACTTGCATGAGAAAGCTGCTCAGTTTGATATTGGAATCTATTTTGAAGCCAACGGCCATGGCACTATCTTGTTCTCTGAATCCTGGTTATCTTGGTTAGAGGCCAGGAACAATGAGCTCAGTTCGGTGTCTGATGGTATTATTTATGAGTGAAGTCCTTTTCTTTTAAGAATTATCTATTGTAGTTTATTGAGTATCATGTCATTTTCTTTCAGGATCTGAACAACAGAAAGCTGCTCTAAGACTAATCTCAGTCAGTAAATTGATCAACCCAGCCGTTGGAGATGCTTTGAGTTGCTTGCTCTTGGTTGAGGCTATTTTGCAACATAAGGGTTGGTCCATTCATAAATGGAACGAACTTTACCAGGATTTACCTAGTCGACAACTTAAGGTCTGTTTTCTTTATTACTGTTGAAGACAAACAAGCGAGAAAGGATAATTCATGTCTGTTAAGATTGAAAAATCTCCTCTAAATTAGTCGTTTAGCTAGTTGCTCGAGCAAAAGTCTGGTCAGTGTAACATTCGCCGAAGAATATTAGCTTATTTCCACCTTCTATGTTTCACTTCATAATATTTTATCTATAAACTTTGCAATGATGATGTGGCCCACCTTAACATTGCTTATACCAACTAATCCATTGCTTGTGTCAGGTCAAAGTTGTGGACAGAACAGCTGTTACAACAACAAATGCAGAAACTATAGCTGTTAGCCCCCCTGGCATTCAAGAAGCTATTGATGCTGAAACTGGTAAAATAATGTCATTGATCTTCTCTCAATGCATGTGTTGCTGTATATTCCCAGCTTATTATTGTTTGTGTTGTTCGATTAACATCTCACTTTTGGGGCACGTCTTTCTCTTAGTTCTTTTTTCAGGGCCTCATTTATATTAATCTTGTTTTATACGAAATACAGTGAAGTATCCTAAAGGGCGATGTTTCATACGACCATCAGGCACAGAGGATGTAATTCGAGTTTATGCAGAAGCTTCCACCCAAGAAGCTGCCGACAGCTTGGCCGATTCCGTCGCCAAAATAGTCGATCGTTCTCTCGGCTTTGGCAGCTCTGAATAGTAGCTTTCCAAATCATTTCATATTGTAAAAGAAAGTCACAAGATTACTGAGGATACTTTATGTTTTATACTTTTATGACAGTAAACTTTGTTATCTTTCTTTCATTCGTACTAATTCCAGATTTTGTTTTGCCTCTACTTGGAACATTACATAGTTCCTTTTCGATTCTGTCACTAAATCCAATTACAAATGCACTAGATAGATAATTGTGAATGAAATTTTATTACTTTGTAATATGTGATTTAAACTTACAAATATTTATTAGCAGACAAAAAACTATAAAATACAGAGGAAAAAGTAGAGCTACAAACAAATACAAACACAAGCTTCAGCGATTTACTTTTGCATCCTGGGGTAAAAGTACCCCAGACACTTGCAATCACTCTCCTTGATCCCTTGTCCTTCATTGTACTGCCTCATGAAATGGTCGACTCCATCGACCTTGTAGTAGCTGAAAGTATTTGGACTGCAACTCACCTTCTGCGCTTGACAGTTCCGGCTCCAACCGAGTAATCCGTTCGGTGATGGGCAAGCGACGCATTGGTTCTGTGCCCCATATTGAGTCCCTGGAAAAGAGAGTGAATGTCTCTTCCCATGCTTGTGAATATACCTTTCATAGTAGGTGAAAACCCTCAGGTTCCCATCGATCCCGAGCCGAAGAAACGACAATATGCTGTTGTATTTCGGCCTCGTCAGAATGATATTTCCGGTACCAATTGAGGAATTAGCTACAGTGTAGTCGAGCAGAACGTTATAAGCAAAACCATCGTTTGTTTCCTCGACATTCAGTGTCACGGTCTGTAAGGTCCCATCTTGTGTATTAGGCCAAACGGATGATCTGAAGTAGACAAGTGGTTTGGGAGTGTTGGGTCCCTTGTATTGCAAAACCAGCTCTTTGGGCTCCATCACCAAGCTATAGGCTCCGTCGACATTGTTTCGAGGCAAGGCCCGGCTCACAAGCTTCGTCGCCCCATCTGCCCGAATCGACTGACTGACCAAGAGTGTATCGGTTGGATGATCAAAGTTTTGCCAAATGAACTTGCCACTGGCATCATGTAGCACCATGTTACCATTAGGCAACAATTTGAACCCTACAACACCTTTGTTGGCAGTGTTACTCTGCCAAGCTACCCGACCATCGGCATCGGCCAAGACAAGGTTCCCGTCTGTCCCGCGAGAGAACGTGGTGTTCTCGCGAACGGGTTTCCCCGGTTCGCCTCCCAGACCCACCGGAACAACCATTTGGAACGGGTGGTAGACATGCGCAACGCAAGGGTGAAGGCATTAGGGGTGGTGTTATAAAACGCAAGCTGGAAGGGGGCAGTACCTATACTTATCACACGGTAATCCCCACCGTAGTCGACGGCAAACGGCCCAAATTCTCAATCGTTGACGAACTGAAACGTCTCCGACGGAGGAACAACAGCTCCGGCATTAAAAGCAAAACAGAAACAACAAGGAGAAAGACAGCAAAGACGTATCTAAAGAAGGGGAAATAGACATGGAAGATGAGAGAATGAAGCAGCAAAGCATGGTCCATATTTATAATACTCGATAAAGGGTACATTGGACACCATCTGATCCTCAATGATTTGACCTTATTAGTTATTTTTTCCTGAACTGCTGTCATATTCTGTCTGAATTATTCACAATTGGCAATTTTGGAGGTGAGACGCCAAGAAACGTTTCTTTATGGTTAAGAAAAGACAGCTTTGATAAGCCCCTGGTTTACGTGCATGTCGTGTTAGGTTATCTCGTAATTTGCTCTCTTTTCAACATTGAAGCTTTCGTAACAAGCAATCATGGACACGTAGTATGTTTCTTTATGTATATATAGATTAATCTAGTGTAATTACATGATAATATCTATTTAAAGATAAATTTTAATCATTTGACATTGAATACTCACACCTTTGACAATTTTGGTGTTCAAACCCGAGACCTCAAAAAAAATTCATTTACTATCGAGTCCGCTTGGTTTTTGCTTCTATATTTAATTATAACCCTCGTTTTAAATCGGTCCTTAAATTTTGGGATATTTAATTTCATCCCCAAAACTATGACTCATTCTAAATTAGTCATTAAACTTTCAAACATTCTAATTTCATCCCTAAACTATGACCATCTTTCTAAATTAGTTCCCCAAACTTTTGAATATTCCTATCTCATCTTCACCCAAATATGTAATTAGTTTCAACCATAGTTTAACCTAAATTTTATTTTCTTAAACATATAATAATATAACTTGACCTAATAATTTTATTAACAATGGATGTGATTAGTATATATGTATAATTTGGGATTGAATTGGAATGCTCAAATAGTTTGGGGACCAATTTAGAATGAACGTCATAGTTGGGGATGGAATTGAAATGTTCAAAAGTTTGAGGACTAATTTAGAACGATAGTCATAGTTTAGGGATGAAATTGAAACATTTAAAATTTTAAGGGCCAATTTAAAATGAGGGTCACACTTTGAGGACATTTGATGCAATTAACTCATTAAATAAATACAATTGAACTGTCCCATCTAGTGTTGGGATTATGCATAAGCTCTCCATTAATGGAGAAAACAAAGAGAATCAATAACTCATTACAATTTACAGACAAGATTTTCAAGGACAAAGGACAAATACGATCGTTGAGTCCTTTTCCTATGGCTTTAGGGTTTATTTTTTAAATAAAGTAAATAATTATAATTCAAACACAAAATTAATAAATACATATACAAATATATTATAAGAGAAAAAGACAGGGATAACAAATTAGGCTAATATTTTAGATTTTCACTAATTGGCCCAATACATGATTATATTATTTGGGCTATATAATATTTTAATGGGCTAGAAGCTTTGGGTTTATTCCAATAAAATTTGTTAAAAGTTTTCTTGGGCAATTTGTTTAGGGTACTAATCTAATTGAATTAATTAAAATTGTGTGTTTCTCCAACCAAATGGAACCATTTAAAATTGTTTATTACCGATTAATTTGGATCAGGTATTATAAATATTTATCATAAGATAATACTTTCAATTCAATTTATTTCAATCACAATGCCAAGATTTTAACCCATAACCTTAAAAGAATTTAATATATCATCCTATTAAATATTAAAATTCATTTTTCATGTATGTAAAACCCATTTTGATATTCTCATGATATATTTTTAATATAGCAACTGACAAAAACCGAAATTAAATTTGATGGACAATTCGTAGGTGTTTACAAAGTAGTATATGTTCTAAATACTCTCAATCATTTGATAATGAATGCTTAATCACCCTATTACAACCATTGGTGCTCGAACAAGTGACCTATAAGAACATTAACGATTCCTTTATCCATAATTCAAGAGGTCCATTATAAAAACGTTCACTCATTATATTAAAATTTAAATCTTTAATCTTAATTAAAAAATCTAACATCATATTTTATTTAATCAATGAATAGTCAATAAAGAAATATAATATCTTATAGTTCACACAATTTGCCACTCTCCAATAATTTGAGCATCCATATTAAGAAACTTTTAATCAATCCCAAATCTATCAAGGGGGATTTGGGTAAGAGAAAGGTGGATTAACTTTTCTTTTTCTTCCCAAAAAAATAATATTTTAAACCTTCACTACTTCAAAAGAATTAATAATTAAATTGAGCCTTTGATTTATATAAGGTTTATTGGAAGGTGATGTTGACAAATTTCATGCTTTTTAAAAAAATCCTAACACAGATATCTTTTGGGACTAATTAATTATTACATAGCCAATAGGCAGCATTGTGTCATCATTTCTTTGGTGTTATTGGCTAAGGTTCCGTCCTAAGAAGACACCTTACAATTTCATTTACCTTTTATCACATTGAAATTCATATTCATGACTAGGCAATGGGTTATTGATTCTTCTGGATGAATTAACCACACTAATTTAATTTTTGTTTTATTTTAGTATTTCTGTCTAAAATCTAACGTCATTTTTTGAAAAAAAAAATAGAAAGTTTGGGTACTAAAACGGATCAAAACTGATAATTTAGGTATTGAATGCTTTAAGTTTTAACGACGGGGTACTAAAATAAAAAATAAAAGCTAAATGTAAGGCATGGTTTTAAAAAATTAGAAGTTTATGTACTAAAAGTGGATCAAAACTGATAGTTTAGGTACTAAATGCATAATTTACCCTTAACATTATAAGAAATTAAGGTAAACTACGCCAATGGTCACTCAAGTTTGGGGTAATGTTCGTTTTCACCATTGATGTTTAAAAAGTTACAAATCGGTTATTAATATTATCTTTTATTACAAAATGATCACTCAACGTTAATTGCATTACTGTGGGTGATGGAAAATTGACATGTACCGTTAAATGCTTACATGACCAGTTAACTGCTTCCATGACCCTTTGACTAATCACTAATTCAATGAAAATTGTTAACCTTTTATGAAAATTGCTTCTTCTTCCTCGGAGAAACTCTTGACCCTAAAAAATGCCAAAGTCAAATCTCCCGTATAAAATTGCCTCTCCCTAGTAACTACGTTAGGAATCTCCTTCCCAACTCATTCTTCACTCTTTCTTCTCCTTCTTCACAACTCATTCTTTACTCTTCTTCCTTCTCCTTCACTGCATTCATCATTTATCTTAGTTTCAGATCCAAAAACAAATCATCATTTCTGTTTAATTTACACATTTATACACCAAAAACACAAAGGGTAAAGAAAATCTAAATGGGGATATTCTCCTTCTTCACCGCCATAGCTTAATATTTGTTGTTATCCATTTTTTCGACGCCGTCATTGCATATCCACGTCCGATCGAGAAGCATCGTTGAGTTTAATGGTACACATCGTTGCCGTCGCTGAGCTATGGAACCCTCGTTTGCTTACTGGTTTTACCAGCCGGATTTCTTGGATCACGCGTCCCCCTCTTCATCTTCAACACTCGTTCCATGCCCCTCCCTCTCTTGATTCTCTCAGTGAGTTTACCTCCGTATCCCTCATTTTGTTCTTTTCCCTTGAATTTTCTTGAATGTATGAGCGAATATG